CAAAAATACCGGTTTTATTATGCAGTTAATTGAAAAGATAAGTGTGTTAGATCTTAGTTGGATGCCTTTATTGACACAAATATTTTTCCTAGCCAATATCATCACCGTTTTAAATTATCTGCATAATCTCCTGGCCTAGCACCTTGTAGCTGATGGTCATTGCTGTGGCTGAAAACATTGTTCTGATCTTCATTGTGGTTCTTTAGCTTTTTGACCACCAGCAGGAGCCATTTTGAAGTGACTAGCCATGGTGCAGCCTGAGGGACATTTACAACTAAATAGCGTACAACGGCTCAACGTGGCTGGCGTGACGTTTTTGTTGTGATTCACACAAGGAAATTGAAAACTAAAATCTGCACTTCAAGATGTGCAGCATGGACTTGGACAGCAGCAAGTTTTCTCTTAAATCAGCTTTTTGACCTTCCTTACTGACTGGTCTAATTCCCTAAGTCTACCAGAACAACCACACCTGATGTATTTACAAACTGGAGGCCCAGACTCAACACATTTTTGCTCTGGGTTGGCTTCAAAAGCTGCAAGCCTATTGCTCTTCCTCCCACTTAAAAGGTAACTTATTATGCAAAATCCACTTTTTCATAATACATAAACATGTGTCCCCTCTGTGTAAAGAGATTCTGAAAGTTTCAGGAACAAAAACCCCCTCTCTTTTTGTCCTGGTCCATTTATATTAAAAACCTGTCTGAAAATTAGCTGAACAGATTTTGGCCACTTTATGATGTCATAACGATTTTTTGGCTTGTGTAACCATTAGCCGATAACCAACCAAGGTAATATTAGGGTATTCATTATTCTCGCGTCCAGGAGAGAAGCTTTAAAAGTAAGAGACAATGGAGTCTCTGAGAAAGGTTCAAATGGGTACTTTAATTAAAAATGGCGCGGTAATGTTACAGGCAGAAGATGGTTTTGAGAAAACAGCTGTGTTCTCGGGGTCTCGAGAGCGAAGGAGAGAGACCCCAAACACGCACGTCGGCTCGTTATGTACCCTCCGTTAGCTCCTCCTCATCTGCCGGATGACGCAGTAGGGGGTCTTCCCTCCTCCGATCTTCAATGTCCGTTGTTGCGCATAACAGAGGATTCAGACATTGTACATTCAATACATAACTAAACACAACACGCCTTTTCTCCTCATATTCTCTTTCATGACTTTTCATTTATTGCATTTTAACGGCTGTAATCGTTTATTTTAATAATACTGGAAATACTTTACGGCAGTTATCATTTACGGTAGCCCCGGAAGTCGTCATATCTACATCATGGATGTATAATAAGAACTGGATACAGCGTGGAAGGCGGTGGCCTCATTAATTCCTATGAGAGTTGCTCATTAGCGCATGGATGACAAAATGGCCCTACTTTTGAGAGAGTGAAACGTCACAGATTACCCAGCATGCCTGAGAAGTACCCGTATGTGCGCTCAGAGCATGCGCAACTTTAACCACGCCCCCCAAAAGGCTCGTTCACATCAAGCACGTCAATTTGCGTACACGTAACAGCACCACGCGTTCTGGATTGTTATGATGGATTTGATATTAACGAATAACGAGGCGGCCGCGGCAGTTAGCAACTAGCAGCTAGCGGCTAACTAGTGTAACGTCCGAGCCATTAGTAATTATGCTAATGTGGACATACATCGTTATGTACTTTTATATTACGCTGATGTAACAGGATCTAGTGATGGTTTTGTTCAGCATTGCCAGCTTCACTGTTGAGCTTTATGTTGTGCCCAGCATTCTCCTGTGCTCTGAAATCAAAATGTGGATAAGCATAAAACAACACTAAAATAAACACTACAATACAACTTGTTATTTGACACACACAAGGTTGTTCATTTGTGTGTATAAATATACAATGTCAAAGAATATTTCTGTCTTTACTTTAGATATTTAACCTATTCTGTGTGTTGACGTTTAGGACCAAACCCTGGCTCTGTTATCTCTCTTAAGGAATGGGAGGCTCCAGCTATCTTGATAAACCAGTTCAACTCTCGGTCACAAAATGGTTTACGACTGTGAGAACGCTGGCTTTCTAAGCTCCACAGATGTGAGAGACATCTCCGGTGTCTACAGATGTTTATGTCTCCCCCAATATGCTCATTAACTCTCTGTAAACTAGTTAAAAGGTCTATCGAGAGAGAGGCTGGTCAGAATTGACATGACAACCCACCCGTTTAGTCAGAACCTTTTGCTGCTGTGACTTGTGATATGAATTCTCCGGCCGTTGACTTGTAATAAACATCATTGTTTGACATCAAAGCTCCAACTCTCCTCGTGTCTCTCTGAGTCCTGACTCTCCATTGCTGCAGAAGTTTCCCTTACATACAACACAGGCTATATACATATATATATATATATATACAAGTATAATTAATACAACTGTTAATTTGATTAGAGCTTTGACACATATATCTTTATTTATATATGTATAAGTATGACGACTTCCTCGGGCGATATCATATGGTATAGCTAATTAATCTGGGTCAAAACGTGTTGTGCCCACATGCAAAGGTTGTAAACTCTGGCTTATCCCTGCGTGGTATTATAGTAATAGCAAACAGCAACGTTCAACTCCTTTAATGGTATATTGCAAGTGCAATAAGAAGCTACAGGGACGTTAATCTACGTCGGTAATATTAACTTTATTTAATACAAGATTTACATCATACAGCCCATGTAGTAGAATATTTCACAAATGATGAATTACAGCAAACATGTGCAACAGGGGCGTCGCCTGGACCTGAAAACATTCGGGGCTTAGCCCGCAATGGCGGCGGCCGTGGCGCTACAGTGGAATTTTCTACTGCAACACTCCCCACACGCACACACAGTACACCCGCGACTGTTACAATGAAGGCTCGATAATCAGCTCACGGCATATAGGCAGGGGTAAAGTGGTATTTTTTTATGAGTGGGGGGCGGACCTCACCTCCTCTAGGGGGGTTCCCGGGGCATGCTCCCCTGGGAAGATTTTTTTTAAATATTGAAGTTAAAAGCATCAATCTGGTGCACTTTGAGAGCAACATTAAGAGATCTATGGATACATCTCAACACCCATATGAAACAGAACTGTAAACAGATTTTCTTTTTCTTTATGGATATTTTACAAATCACTCCTCTTTTAAACTCTATTCTTGTTTTACTGCCATATAGACTATAATGATCATATGAAGGTGTGCCGCGGAAATAATCTTTTGAATAATTTGTGACCAAACCGTTTGAGACCCACTGAGATAACGGCGCATTCACACCAGCCTTTTATAGTCCAGTTGAATCTAACCCTGGTGCGGTTCATTTGGGTCGGTGTGAACGCAGTCCGAGACCTCTGAAGTGAACTAAACAACCGGACTCTGGTCCGCTAAAAGAGGTGGTCTTGGAACGCTTGCTTGCGAACTCTGGAGCGGTTAATTGCTGGTGTGAACGCAGTCCGCTCCAAAACATAGGAAGCGTAGTATTTACGTGTCACAAGAACGCGGATATCTTCAAAATCTTTAGCGAATGAGTCTTTCAAGACATCCGCGGTTGTTAATTTAAAGAGTGAAGCAGAATTAAGTGTTGAACAGTGTCGTGTAAAGTAAAAATGCTCCGTCAACTACATAAAAGTAAGAATACCTGTCGTCGGTGAAAGGCCCCTCCTTACTGCAGAACGTCTCTCATTATGTTATAATGTTTTTTAACGGACGTTGTCTGATTATATAATCATATGCGCGGCAGCGTGGGCCGCTAGTGTCTGTTGATCTCCAGATTAACAGCAGCATGAGAATAACCTGCCGAAAGTGCCGATGCTCCATGGCGGAGGCTCCGGTAGAAATTGCCGGGATTTGCGTTTTTACCCCCTTAATGTCTCACCAATTGTTGAACAGCATTTCCGTGCACATGACTTGTGTTTAAAGTTTATAGTCCGTTTTACTTTTGCCCGTGTGAATGCAAACCGAACCTTCTGAAAAATGAAACAATGTAACAAACTGTCGTCTGGTGCGCACCAGAGAAGCGGACTATTAGGTGTGAATGCAAGACTAAAGTGAACTATCTAAACACTCAGAGTCCTTTAGCTCACCTGAGTCTCTCAGTCTGAGAGGAGAGGATCCTCCTCCAGCTTGTTGAACAAACAGCTCCTTATGTCCGTTAGTGCAGCTAGCTAACCAGATGCTAACAACACGGTCCCTGCTGGCACCGGTCCCTCTCTCCCTCTCTCTAGAGGCTTCTCAATTCTTAAATGTTCCCTCCTCGACTCCCCTCCTCGAGACTTAGTCCCGCCCACAGGAGATGCGAGCGGAGGACTGAGGAGGGGAACCGAGGAGAAAGGAGGGGAAGCAGCAGGCAGTTAGAGAAATGAGAACTCCTCTCCTCTGAGAGGTCATTTTAAAGAGACGTCCATTAATGATGACAGAAGGCACAGCAGCCCTCTGTCTGATGGACAGATGTGTTCATGACCACTTATATATTTACTTTGAATTAATTGAGAGTGCGGTATATTTGAGACAATAACAGGCTACAGATGTGGACACACACACAAATGTTAGCTTGTTGCTTCTGCCCTCGACTACGGTCTGGGAGCCAACAGGAAAGTTCAACACACAGATGGCCAGACCGTCCCTTTGTAGCATATTATTTCGATGAGAGATGAGCAGATCGCCACTGGGCTTTCAACTAAATATACAGTCACGCAAAAAATGCGGCATTTGGGACATGTAGTTTATGGGCAACCTGCTTCTGTAAAGTGGCTTGTAACCGTATAATAAACGTATTATATTCTTTGCAAGCTCTTGCGGGGCCACATAAAATGAAGTCGCGGGCCGGATTTGGCCCCCGGGCCTTGAGTTTGAGACCCCTGATGTAAGGCCTATATTTTTCTAATTATTTTTGACTCTATATTACAGTGCTGCCATAAGGGAGTCATTAATGCCCTCTCCCAAGTCACCTGGTCACAAAACTGTATTTTTCCACACAAAATAACATTTTTTTAAAGAGGCATCAGACATCATCTAAAATTACTTCATTTATTGCAATCATTACTAATCACACCATTTTTTTTTAACACAAAAATATTACCAAATCTACAATAGGTACAATTTGATTGGGGCGGTAAAGTATCATGGCTCAACAATCCGTAATTGCTGATATATTTTGAGGAAAATTAACTGTAAATAAAAAGTATTTGGGGTGCACGGAGTAAAAACAGCTTGTATTCTTTTGAGGCTGCATAAAGCAACCGCCATCTAAAGGCAGGGCAGCCGAAGCTAAAACAAAAAATAAGTAAAAGTCTGCACATTATTTTAACCACTTGCTCCAGGATTTCAAAAAGTGAGGGAAATATGCTTCCCCCATCCCCTGCTTAGACTATGGTTGTTCAGGATCTACACAATAAATACATCTGGATTGCATACAGGGAAAATATTGGCACTCTTCTCCCAACATCATCATCCAAAAAACCACTAACATGATAAAGACTTGGAAAGCCAATGTGCAGATGGAACACTAGCCTGGTCCCCAGAGGCCTGACCTCAACATCAGCAGTATAACTGCACAGAGCCTTAGTTTATCTATCCATCAGAAAAAAGAAAAACCCTTACAAAAACAACTTTGATGCGGTTATGTAATACGTATGTTTGATGCCGTTGCCTTGCATTCTAAGAATAACAGCAGAAAAATCGCTTGGTTAAAACAGGTTTGTTACTTTCGTAATTTTTTATTTACATTTCTTTGTTGACTGCAGTGTTTTAAACAAAACAAAAGCTACAGATCTTGAAATGTGTTTGTAGTTGGCCTACCAGCCCAGGTATAAACCACAGTTTGCATCAAGCTTTCACATGTTGTTGCCCATCTAGCCCTCACTTCCTGTCTGTCATCTCTCCACTGTCTGTAGATGTCTAAAAATGCCATCAAATGTCCAAAACGGTAAATGGGGTATAAACAATTGATTAGTTTAACTTAATGCTTATCTGATTATACTGATCTATTAACCTTGTAGAGGAGTTTTCTCCAGAAATTCTCAAATCACTTCACAGGGAAACAATGCTGGTGAGGTTTAATTGATCCCATCAGTACCCTTTTTCCAATATCTCTGGGAGCCAATAATAATCGCACAAAAGATTACAATAAACCAGCTTTACTAACGGTTCATGAATAGCCAATAGTTGGTCGTTGTTATGTTGACATACAGTTAAGCAGCAATAAAGATAGTAGATGGTTAGTATAGCAAGTTGAAATGTTACTTCTTCTTTCCACCTTTCGGAGCTTTTTCTAGTCCATTAATGTACTTGCGAGGAATTTGATAATGATCTGAAATAGAACAAATAAATATTAATAAAAAGTATTTGCATAAATAAAGCAATTTATTTATATGAGTATTATATTAAAAAATTATGAAAGTCAAAAGTCAAAGTCAACTTTATAGTCAATCTCAAAATATGTCTGTACACACAGAAAGATCGAAGATGTTTCCCACAGTCCCGAGGTCTAAAATAACATTAAAATACAAGAACACTCAATAATTACAAAAACTTTTCAAACCTAGCAGCAAATTGCCAGCTTGATGAATCTGGTTGCCTTGGATCTGGACCAGGACTTTGTCCTTGGACCCGGGGATGGGTTGTAAAACAGAGCTGGCCTGAACTCTGTGCTGCAAAGCCGTGGCCACGACCGCAGGATCCAAACCGTAAACTTCCAGATTCTTTATCAAAGTCACCTATAGTAAGCATATGGAAACAATTAGAGCTAGAAAAATACAATATCAGTTTACCGCATGTGTCAGCCAGTGAAAAAGATATACTGCAGTATAAACATGCTAAATGTATGTTTAAGGTCACAATGTCTCATTACAATGTTTGTCCAAACAAATGTAAACAGATCATTTCACAATATAACACACTTGACTAAGATGGTAAACATGGCCGATGATATCTGCTAAACATTGGCATGAAAGCATGTTTATTGTGAGCATGTTAAAATGAGAATTTAGCTCTACTTCTGTGCCATCGTTCAGCCTCACAGAGCAGATAGCATTTCTCTAGACTCCCTTAGCTATCCTTCATCAGTTTTGGTAGACGTAATCCCTGCTAATCTACAACTTAGAATTCAGGATATTTCAGTAAAGGTTGTAACCTTCTTATTGGAGCCTCGAGAAGACACAGCAATGTCTATGGGCTCGATGTGGCCCTTCTTCTGTATGGGTCTCTGTCCAGGGTACACAATTTGATAGCACTCCTGCATTCTTCCCAACGTCCTGTGAAAATGAGGAGGCATTGTTAAACCTACAGCAAAAGTTAGATGATGGAAAGATGGATACATGGATGGACAGGGAAACCATTGAATTGGGTAGTGATGTACAGAAAATGATCACCAAAGACATAGTAAACATAAGCTGTATTTTTACATTGTATATTCACTTGCACATTGAGATCAACAATGTGAAGGTTTGCACAAAAAATGTCTCACAAAATTCTAATGTTTCAAAGAAGATAATTACTAAGCCACACGAGTAACAAGTAACAACCGTAATGTTAAAGGTGTTGCTAGATCAAATACAGATTGGGTTGGTTTTACTAAGAACAAAAATACACAAAAATACACCTTGATCCGTGTTTTCATCTTCATCACCAATTTCTGCTGCTGACCAATAACCGGAAAAACCTGTGGCAGCTATTTAGCACCCAAAACGTCTTTTTTTCTTTGCATGCAATTATAGTGTTGCTTCAAACACTGCAACACCTTAATGTAGATGTATACATGGCATTTTCTACCTAAAATGTGAGTCTTACAGTGTTGAAAAAAGCAATGCAAGGATGGTGTTTTCCTTTTCCCCTACCAGTGCCTCAAATTCCTGCTGAGATTTAGGTGCATTTACACCACACCTAATAGTCCGCTCTCTGGTGCGCACCAGACGACAGTTTGTTACATTGTTTCATTTTTCAGAAGGTTCGGTTTGCGTTCACACGGGCAAAAATCAAACGGACTATACATATGGAGTCAGATTTGGGTCAATATTCTAGCGCGCAAAACAAGCTACTCACGAGTGGAAAATGTGCTTTTACACGCGCATTATTAGACTCCCGCGCGCAGATTAAACCCCCGCGAGCGGCTATGCGCTCGCTCGCGAGAGAGACAGCCCTCTTGCTCGCTCGCTGGAGTGTCAGCCTCACTTGCTCGCGGAGTCTGTCTACGCACGCGTGAAAAGTTTCTGACACTTTGGGGCGGAGCCACTAGACTTTGATTGACAGCTGCCAGGAAGCCCGGAGTTGCCAGGTTTGATAAATGCCTGAACTACCAAGAGCCGAGGAGTGACAGCTGCAAGATCAATTGGACGAGACTGAATGGTAAAGTTGTCCATAAAAAACTATTATATTCGTAATTTATATTCGTAAAGTGTACAGCTACATATATATAAATTAATTTGATATAAAAAAAATTACACATTAATTCTAGGAATGCAATACTTTTACAAACACTATAGTAATAATATGCATTCATTATGACAACGTCATAGTATTACTATAGGAGTGTTCTATAGTGTGTTCAAAAAACAACTACAGAAACACTATATATTATACTATAGTTATACTATTTAAAATAATATAGGAATACTACAAAGATCTATACATAGTATTACTATTGAAATATTATAGGGCTACTATAGCTAATAAAATGGCACTACATAAAAAACTATAGTAATACAATAGCTGGTGAAAAATACAAACTTACTAAAGGACACTATACAACTCTTATAGTATACTATAGTAATACTATAATTCATTTATAGTTCATTTCGTAAGGGAGGTGCATACAGCAGACAGCAGTTTTCGACAGATACAGCCCACTCAAAAATATATTGTTTTATATAAAATTCATTAAGATATATATATATATATATTAGCTGTACACTTTACGAATATAATAGTTTTTTATGGACAACTTTACCATTCAATCTCGTCCAACTGATCTTGCAGCTGTCACTCCTCGGCTCTTGGTAGTTCAGGCATTTATCAAACCTGGCAACTCCGGGCTTCCTTGCAGCTGTTAATCAAAGTCCAGTTGCTCCACCCCAAAGTGCCAGAAACTTTTCACGCGCGTAGACCATGGATGTATAATAAGAACTGGATACAGCGTGGGAGGCGGGGCCTCATTCATTCCTATGAGAGTTGCTCATTAGCGCATGATGATAAAATGGCCCAACTTTTGAGAGAGTCAAACGTCACAGATTACCCGGCATGCCTGAGAAGTACCCGTATGTGCGCTCATAGCGCATGCGCAACTTTAACCAAAATGCTCGCGGCTAGCTAGTAATTATGCTAATGTACACATCAATCGTTATGTACTTCTATTACGCAGGATCTAGTGATATCCAACAGAGCTTCATTTAGCATGAAAGAATTATTGCACTGTATATATATATATATATATATATATATATATATATATATATATATATATATATATATATATATACACACACAGTGCAATAAGCTTCTTAGTGCAATAATAAGCTACAGGGACGTTAATCTAACGTCGGTAATATTAACTTTATTTAATACAACATTTACGGTACAAGATTTAATCATACAGCCCATGTAGTATAATATTTTACAAATGATGAATTACAGCAAACATGTGCAATATATCCATTATTACAGCTCCGTGGGATGGCAGTAAGGCGATATGGGGCCGTTTTTATTGTGCATCCATGGGTAAAGATAAACGCATGTAGTGCTGAACACGGAACATGAACGTGCCGGGCGGCGCGGTACCGTGGGTTAGATGCGCGTTCATAATGCAGAGGGAAATAACTCTCAGCATAACGTTATTAGCACATTTTTACAACTTGAGGAACAAATGTTTTTAATAAGGGCTATACAAGTGTTCATACTGGGTTGTTTATTTAGTTTAAAAAAAATTATCCAACAAGTTACAGACCACTCTTTCCCAATGTAAGTCAATGGGAAAAAGTGTTTCCGGGCCCAGCAACCTAAAGAAAGTGTAGTACCGCCGTTTGGCCACAACGAATATTCTCATCAGACTCCGGCGCACTTCCTGGGGGCTTGGCGTAGACAGACTCCGCGAGGCTGACACTCCCGCGAGCGAGCAAGAGGGTTTAATCTGCGCGCGAGGGTCATTTTATGCGCGTGTAAAAGCAAATGTTCCGCTTGTGAGTAGCTTGTTTTACGCGCTAGAATATTGACCCAAATCTGACTCCATAATACACTTTAAACACAAGTCATGTGCACGGAAATGCTGTTCAACAATTGGTGAGACATTAAGGGGGTAAAAACGCAAATTCCGGCAATTTCTATCGGAGCCTCCGCCATGGAGCATCGGCACTTTCGGCAGGTTATTCTCATGCTGCTGTTAATCTGGAGATCAACAGACACTAGCGGCCCGCGCATATGATTATATAATCAGTAGGGGTGTAACGGTTCACAAACATTTCGGTTCGGTACGTACCTCGGTTTTTTGGTCACGGTTCGGTTCGGTACAGCAGAATTTTTTTTCACAAAACAAAACATATATATACATATTTTTTTATTATTATTAAACTGTGAATAATGTATTCACTCAAATAAATACAAAATATAATAAAATAAACATTAAGGTGCAGCATTTCGATGAACTGAAATAATCTGTATTTGAACTTTACTGTACTAGTACTCACAAAACATAAACTATTAGTTTTGGGTTTTTAATTATCAGGGTTTCCCACACATAGACTATACTTGGGCGGGCCGCCCAGGTATATTAACGGCCGCCCAAGTATATTTTACGACCCATTTAGTTTTAAAAAAAAAAAACTAAATTAATAAACAAGTTTCAGTGTTTTTTTCATATTGGAAATGGGATGTTGTTGGTTAAGGCCTTGATTTTATGATTATTGAAATGTATACAGTTCTGTTAAATATAGGTGTTTCCATAGATCTAGTCTCTTTATTTTCCCCTCAAAATGCACCAGATTGATGCATTTAACTCCAAAATAAAAAATAAAATCTTACCGGGGGGGCATGCCCCTGGACCCCCCTAGAGGATTTGAGGTCGACCCCCACTAAAAATCACATGGATAGGTTCCTAAATACATTAATAAATACATTTATTTGTTTAAATAGTAACCCATTTCCATATGTTCATGTGCGGGTAGTAGATTTAAACTATAGGGCTATCATTATGGACCCTGCCTGTACCTGTTCGCTCTGCCATCGCGTGAAGGGTCTGCTAACAAGCGACCAACAGAAAGGTTAATGTTGTTGCACGTCACCTCAACCCCCCCCGCTACCACCACCCCCCAAAGTATATTTCAGATCTGTGGGAAACACTGGCAGTTAATGGACCAGCACCAGAGGCATTCCCATACACACAGGCGTTGGAGCTGTTCTTCATGAAATCCCAGAAGGATGAAGTGCTCTGACAAACAGTGCCATCTTTGCGCAAAATGATTATACAGGAATGAAAAGTCAATAAATAATGTTGTTAAAACTTTTTTTTTTTACTGCGCCCTCTCAATGAAACGAAATACTTCGGGAATCGTCGGGAATCTTCGGGTGATGACGAGAGCATAGGAAGACGGGCACAAACAATGGCGGACATTCAATAGCATTTGCATGTGAATAGCCGAGTATATTGCCATAATATATGATTGATTATCAGTAAAAAATTCTACGTGACACAACGACATTGGATTAACCTTAAAATGCGTTTTTATTCCGTTGAACACAACTTTTGATCACAAATCAAAAAAGGTAAGACGTAATTATTGTAATATTTTTGGAACCGGATGTTGTTTACTTTCTCTTTTCTGGCTGATAGCTATAGGAATTCGAGGTCTTACAGTGATGACATTACATGTGTGGAGTCTCAGCTTTAAATCGTATATCTTGTTTGTGCAGTTAAGATAGTAATAAGGGCATTTCTACCGTGTGTTGTGTGTAAAAAAGCGTTAGCATTAGTTAGCATTGTTTCGCTCAATGCTAATTCAAAGGCTTGGTATTACGCTTGTGTTTTTTCTAGCTAACAATTGTTCTTATTGTCAGTTAGCGGAGTTTCTTACCTTTAAAAGGGTATGAAACATTAATAGTTTCATAAATGTTAAGAAGCCCTGAGACATGTGAGAGAAAAAAAACTGTGGGAGGGGTCCACTGGGGGGACCTTCGGGATTAACTGGTTAACAATGATTAATATTTGTAAAGGCTACAGGTGATCTTAAGATGCGTGAGCTATGCTTAGGGACCTACCAGTCAAGATTAT